GGTCGAATTAATGATGGGTGCAACACATTTCGAACCCATGTGTTGCTCGGAACATTTTGAGCAGGTACGAAGGTCCTGCTTTGAACAGTCTGGGGATCACGTATGGTGATAGAAGCATTCTGAGTCTGGATCCCTTTGTTCTTGGTGATCACCTGGTTGGTGGTCACCTGATAGTGTTTCTTCATCTCTGATTGCTCGAAGGCTTTGGCCGCCGCTTTATCGAAAACGGCGCTGCACCTCGGGCACAGCATGACCTCACTGTCTGCTTCCTTCTTTCGAGTTAGAAAGTCCAGCAGCGAGTCACCAGCCTTTGGGAAGATTTCAGCTTCTTCCTTCTCGAAGGCTTCGAGGGTGTCATTCAAAGAGCCTTTTCCTTCTAACTCTTCTACAGCTCGATCGAATGACCCCTGTTGTTCAGCAACATCGACCATCAGTATGTCGATAGGTTCCACGAAGTTAGCTTCTATTTGCATGGGATCAGAATCGATTTTCATCGGCATTTTGGTTTTTTGCTCGAATTTTAATCGTCCTTGCTTAATGGCGTCCTGAATAAGATCCCTGAAACGAACACAGTTATTAGTCCAATGTCCATAAACATGATGAAACTTACAATATTTTCGACCCTTTCTTTGTTCTAGAGTAGGGATTTTATGATCATCAGATAATATAATTTGCCCATCTTTCAATAAAATGTCGAAAATATGATCAGCTTTAGATACATCAAAGGCATAACTCTTATTAGGTCGAGTTTTGTCCTTAATTTCGAGTGGTTTTAAAGATTGGCAAACATAAGGGGGTCCTGGTTTTAATTCAGCTACATTTACCTCATTTACCCCTAAATCGACATCTTCTTCGTCGAGATCATTCTCGCTTCCTATTTCTCCTTCAGCGAGACCTATATAAGCCACTTTGTCTTTTCGAGGAAATTTCTCTATTTTCTTAGGGACAAATTTTTCAGCCTTAAGTTGCTCGATTTGCCTCACTCTCGTCGCTAACTGCGACATGTCTCTTAACTGCTGATTAATCAATTTCTTTCTAATCGAGTACTCTAATCCACCTATAGCCATTTGGACTAGTTCATATTCTGGGATTTGAGTAAAATATCTTGACCTCATTTGTCGAAATCTACTTAGATAATCGTCAATGGATTCATTATGTATTCTTTTTATATTAACCAAATCCATTAAGCTAACTTTCGCTTCACCACGAAAGAATTGTTCATGAAACCTTCTTTCTAATTGATTCCAATTATGAATTGAATTCGGGGGTAAGGTTGTGAACCAGGTAAAGGCCCCCTTAGTCAAAGAACTAGGAAAGTACTTTAACTTTAAATCTTCATTTCGAGCTAAATCTCCACATTCTATGGCGTATCTAGCTATATGTTCGACTGTAGACTCACCGGAATCTCTGGCAAATTTAGTGAATTTTGGGACTTTCCAACCCCGAGGCAATTCAGCCTGCAAAATTGCCTCAGAGAATGCTGAGACAAAGTAGGGTCTATTAGCATACCCTACGTCGAACCCATGTTGATTCAAGACTTGTTCGACTACATTGGCAATGTTTTGGGGATTCGGGTCGTTTGGATATTGAATTTGATGCCCCCCTACATTATTTTGCCTAACTTGCTCAAGTATTTCATCAGCATTCTGATTTCGAGCAATAATAAAGGGTCGATTTCCCTGGAAATCACCCTCATTTTGTATCAAAAGGTTTTGGTCGAAATTTCGACCAATTTGCTCAAACGGAGCATTTGGATTTCGAGCAAAAACTAGGGGTTGGTCTACCTGAAAATTTCCTTCATTTTGTCTCGGAAGATTTGGACCAAAATTTGGTCTATTTTGCTCGAAAATTTGACCATTTCGACCAAGATTTGTAGCATCTTGATTAGGTGTTTGGGCAACATTTTGCCCTTGCCTAATAGGGACTCGAGGTGCCCCAAAAACGTCAGCAATTCGACGCATTTGTTCAGCCAAAATTTGATAGCTGGTATTAGTCGTTTCCACTATGGGATTCAACACAGTGGTCATTTGATGAGTCAGCATATTAACCATCTCGTGATTACTTTCATCCATCTGTTGCCTCATGGAATGTAAGGCAACATTCGAAAACGAGCTAGTAGGAAGTGAATCCCCACTCGAAGCTCCAAACGCAACTTGCGCTTCAGGTACTCCACCAATCGTACCCATTCCCGGTGGAATAGTATGGAGTACACCCATTCCTGGTGGAATGGTGTGACTCTGGGGTGACACGGTTGTCACCACAGGGTTAGAGTAGGTTGGTACTCCAAAGATAGGAGGCATACACACGGGAGGTAAGCCAAATGGGTGATCACCCAGCCTTGGCCTTGGGCCAGGATTTATGCTGGGATTGGTTGGCGGCATAGTAGCCATAAATTGGCTAACTACGGGAGATGACGGCGTAGGTAACGCCGTCGTTGGTGTGGGTTGTGCGGCAGTAGTAGTACTGCCGCTTACATCTGCGTTAGTATCACTACCATCACTTCTGGAATTGTCATTCCCAGAACTAGAATCACTATTTCTTCCTCTATTAGCCATAATACAACGTCCGTTACGTAATATCATGCAACAAAGCAAGCAATCATTCAAAACACACAATATGGTCCCACTGGGCGTGCCAATTTGTTTACGGTGAAAAATGACAGTTGTAAACAAATAATCCAAAGATCAATCTGAGGACTGGATTTAGGTCCTCTTTGGGTTCTTTTAAGTGTGTTGTTAATGTGATGCTCAGATTAACGGCGTAAAAGAGTATTAAGCAAGAATAGTGAATAATAAATGTGCACAATTAAATCAAACGTAGATGCTTTTACAGAAATGTAGCAAGCCGGAACTAAACAACGTACAAAGACATAAGTAACAAGAACTGAAATTAAAATGCAGAAAGGTAAATGTAGGAATGTAAAGGTGCTGGAATGTAAACGTACGACTCCTCACAACGGCGAACAACGGCCACCGTAGGTCTCCTTGTAGCTGGTGTCTGGCGCGGTGCAGAGTTTCAGCGTCTCAGAGTGTTTAGGTGCGGTGTCTGGGTGCAAAAAGTCGTCCTTTGTGAAATAATGCTTTGTAGTATTTATAGACATGAAGATCACCACCGTTTTCCACCTTTTGCGGGCACTTCTTAGTAACTGCCTTCAACTGTTGATGCTCACTATCCACGATTGCTTGTGATCGTGCTGTTTGTTGGAGCTGTAACCGCTATCGCCCATGATCTCCTTTGCGTAGTGGTGAATGTTGATAACTACTGGTAACCGCTTTTGGATTTTTCAATACTCCTATCTTTCGAGTATTTCTGAGAGAAATCTAGAAAAACTCTTTTAATGTTATGGCCTTGGAATAGTTTCTTCTTGACTTCTCTTTTCGAGCTATTCTGGAGTTTTGAGAGTTTGTCTGGGTCTTGTGGACTTAGAACATTTTCTTTGCTCATTTCTATTTTTCGAGCAATTTTGGAGGGACTCTTGAGCTCGACCAGATTTGTGGACTTAGAATATTTTCTGACCACTTCTTGTTTTTCGAGCGATTCTGGAGGAAATTTGGAACTCAGCCAAGTTTGTGGACTTAGAATATTTTCTTATTACTTCCTGCTTTTCGAGCAGTTTTGGGTGTCAGGTACTTGAAAACTCATCAAATATTCCTCGAAAAGCCATCAGTTTTTTGTGGACTTAGAATATTTTCCTGTTAGTCTTGTTTTTCGAGTAGCTTTGGGTGTCAGGGACTTAAAAACTCCTCAAAACTCCTCGAAAAACCATTAGTTCTGTGGACTTGGAATATTTTCTTGCCAGTTCTATTTTTCGAGTAGTTTTTGGTGTCAGTGACTTAAAAACTCCTCAAAACTTCTCGAAAAAGCCTTTAGTTTTGTGGTCTTGGAATATTTTCTTGTCTTTCAAGCAGTTTAGAAAAAAATCAACAATGTGACAAAAATCTCTTAAAATAGCTCGAAATGTGTTCCTTTTAATTAAAACTAAAGATCTTCCAATATTCTCTTATGTTCAGGTTTATCTTTGGCTCCTTCTTGACCCTCAAAACTTGTTGAGATATAGTTTCCTTCAAGATGATTTTTAACTTAGAAAATTTTTCTTATCCCAAACACCGACATTATAATTTCAAAAATTCCAATCCATCGAAATAAAGGGGCTCTATATAAACAGTTCGATTCTCCAACTTTGCTTTACTACCAAAATGAAACATCTGTGAAGTTTACACCACCGGGACGAGCAAATAGCTGCCACGCTTTATAGTCAATTTTGTATAGTATAAATATGCGTATCGTTTCTGTTGACGTATGAATATAATATTATTTAATAATATATGTTATAATAATCTTTTATCACAGTGCATTTGATTTTATCAAAAATTCAAATGATAATACATATAGGACTCGTTCATTCAGCAGAATAATAAAATTATGTTTTTACTCATATTTCATACCTTTTTAATATTTTATAAAAATAGTTTTTAGAATTATAATTTTAATAACTTTTATGAAAATAAAAATATATGATTTTTTAAAAAAAATAAGTATAATGTTTAAAAACATGTAAAATAATTTAATCATTTTATAAAATACATTTTATAATTTTTTCTAATTACAATATCTTTCCTAAAAATAATTTTTAATTGCAAAAAATTGAATAATCTAATAATAATTTAATATCAAATTTTAATATTATATGTGAATAAAAATATTTTTTAATTTTGAATATATATTTATATATATTATATTCAAAATTAATTATATTCAAAATTAAAAAAATAAATATCATTTTTTTAAATATATAAATATCTTTTAACTTCATGACCAAAATACACACAAAATTTTATATTGCCCACACATTCTAATATGGATTACATGGTCAAAATTAATTAATTTGAAGTAAATATAATTTTAACTATTTAAGGATGGTCATGCTCACACTCCATAATACAAACACAAATGTAGACATTTCTTTAACTATTTTTATAATTTTTAAATGTATGAAAATAATGAAAATGTAAATAAATTACTATTATATATATATATTGTCATTTTACAATCTTAATTATTTGAGAAAACCTGGAAAAAATATATTCTACACTAGATAAATTTATGAAATTTTATATTGATGGAGTCTAGCGATGCTATCCATTTCCTGTTGTGAGGGAGGTTCTAAGAACTGGGCAACACTGTTTGCACTGTATGAATGCTGATGAGACAGCTAGAGCAAGCTTCCTTGTTATAGTGACCAAACATGATACCAACAACATCCCTAGAATGCAAAGCAAACACGTAAAATTGCATACTCTAAAAAGTCCCAGCATCATAAAGAATAGGGAACAAAAACAGTAGAGTTTTTAATGAAGAGATTAATTAGAATCATTCATATATGGAACCAAAAGTAAGAAGAATAATCTATTACGCATAAAATGAATAGTGTTAGGACAAACATAGTTCCTAGAGCTCTGGTTTTATTAGTGACAGCAGCATCATCATCATAGGCTAATGTTTTCGGTGATTAGTAGACTTCTCTACCCAAAAATTTGCAACAACGTGAATCTAATAGAATATATATCATAGCAATTACCTGTATGGATTCAACCATTATAAAAGATAGGTCTGGTACTGTGAGTGAGCTCCTTACTTTCTTCCAAATATCTGAAGAAGGTAGATAGCGTAACTGTATCATTGTGATTGTCTCTCTCAACCAACCACTCCTCATAAAGTTGGACATTTACATCTCTGTCAGAAATTGTAATCCGTAGTTATTAAAACAAAAAGGATAGTTTAAGATTGGAAGAAATGCAGCATGCCAGCACTGATTTATAATTTATTTGCATGAAGAATGTTTAAGGAGTAAATAAACACAAACTGGGAAAATAAAACCACAAAAGCAAAAGATGTGAAAGAAGATTTAGAAATAAATATAAATACCTTTTCAAGGCAAGAACTTCATAGTTTCTCCGTAGGTAATCAGCATACTTTTTAAGGGCATCCTGTGCATATGGTCTACCCACAGTCCTTACTGCAGCCGCATTTAATAAAGTTTCCAATGAACCATGCTTTTTAATAAGTTTTAGAGCAGTCTTCCGACCAAAACTAGGGACTAGATGTTGGATACCAGGAACGCCATCAACTTCATCACCTACAATACATCCTACACAATCACGGCATACATAAACCGAAATGTTAGTCATAATGGCATAACCATTTAGCCAGTACATAATAACACAATTACTTTTTACACTATCAGAAAAATCACCTCTTTGTATTCTATCTGTAACTACATTCTTGTTTTTCATGAACATTCTATGTTATCAGTACACCTAAGTTTCAGTTAGTGAAAAGCCCATCTAGAGGTTTTTAATCAACACAATTATATAAGTATAGCTTATTCAAAAACATTAAAAATATTTTTTCTAATAGATAACTTATAAATTGGTTGTGAGCCTTACAAGTTTTTTATACATTAAAAATGGATATTTATGTTAACCCAAAATATAAATGATGGGAATATCAAGCATAAACATAACTGTAGTGTATGTTACACTCACTAAGGCTCAGATCAGATTGTGGGTCACAATTATACTGATCTCTGTAGTGCCTGAGGGTGTAGAACGACCACCTTTGTAACTCTGGCAACGGCATAACCATTTGCACATCTTCAGATATAAGTTGCTTAAAATCCTTATCAGGGGAGGCAATAACCACTCGAAACCCTTTATTGAGAACTTGTCCTGCAAGTGTAGCTACAACATCATCGGCTTCATGGCCATCAACTTTTATAACCTGCATCGTTTCATCTTGTCACTAAAGAATAATATGATTGAATAAAAGTAAATTGACTTTCCACTTTGGTTTACATTTACGAGAATGATAATTTGCATATTCTTTTTGAAATGATTCATAAACATAAACAATAATTTAAACAAATGCTTAAGAAAAAGAATGGTATCATTGAACCTACTAGTTTCCATATTGTTACTTATCTACAATTATAATCTTACAGTAAAAAAAAAAAATCAAGACAAATGATACCAACGAAGAAGCTATGCAAACACGACTAACAGATGGTATGTTAAAAATTAAAAAAATAATAATACTAATGTTCTCATTTTCCCATTAGTTTCAAGGTGAGCATCCCAACGTCATCAAATGGGAGGGATGGGAAAGTGGAGCTCAGAAGAGAGTATCAGATTCTAAGATTCATTGTTTGTATTCACTATTTAGTTATAACTATATCTCCAAATAAAGGCATAAGCTGCCAAAGAAGCAAGAGCCCAATATCTTAACTCTTAATAAAGCTCACTAAGCATAATTTGTAACAACACTTAACTTTACTGTGCACTAAAACTCAACTTTAAGATTAGAAATATTACTGAATATTTTCAACCAGAAGACTGGGGAAAGCAAGGATTAAACCGATTAGAAAGCCAATGCTGCTGTCAAAGAGCCTATATTTTTCAAAATCGTAACATGTCTAATTATATCAAACAGGCTCAATCTAAGAATAGCAGGTATAGATATTGGAATATGGTTTTATTTTCATGAATTGGTGCCTCTATGGAATCTTCCTTATTCTATCTGTCCTTTTTTTTTGTATTTATTTTAGGTTGATGATTATTTTTTATTGTATATTTTCACAACTCACTGACCAGTAAGAACAGAGGGATGTTTTCATAATACAATATGAAAAATATGGCAAAGACTACCCACTTGACCACACTTATTTTTTTAGTATTTCCATTGTACTACTAGTACTACTTCAAAAGGTGTTCATTAAGTTCTCTGCTATTTTTTGTTGAAAGATTGTAATTTAAAAATGCATACAAATATCTAGGAAAGTTTCTCTCTCTTATGCTAGTGCAGTGACAACTATATATTGCACCTAGGAATGCCTTGGCAGGGTATATGATAGAAACAAAATGATATAAAGGGGGATATCAATAAGTTCTCAGATTATGCATAAACGAAATAATAAGAATATGAACAGAAAGAAAGGTAGAGGATTGAGAAAAAGAAGGATTCTTTTATTCAAATGAAGAGAAAAGAAACACAAGATGCAGAATCCTCTCACAAAGGAAAATCCCCTTTTCACTGAAAATGACTCACTAACCACATATCAACTCCAAATAAAACCAATTGAAACTGTTGCTGACTTTTTAAACTCCTGATAAAAACTCTTGTAAATTACTGATAACATATTAGCCACCTATTCTTCCTGTTTATTCCTTCTACACTAGTCCCTTATCCCTCCAAACCTTATTTTTCTCATTAATTATTGGCATGGGCTAGGGTCTAACAGATTATTTTTTGCGAAACCAAAGATGGTGAGCCTTAGCCCTTATAAGGAAAAACCAGAGCCAAGGTTCCTTAGAGAAAGTTAATTCTGTGCCCAACAACACCCAGAAAAACAATTCCCTACCTCTCCACTTCTCCCCCTCCTCCTATAAGCATATTGTATGGCATAACAAATTGGCCAGCTCAGCATCATGAAACTAATTCTCATCCCCAACATGTTTCTGTTTCTTATGTGTGTACACTTTCCATGTTTTGGGCTTCACATGAATAGAGCCCACTAGCTGATCATGTCTTTGTACTACTTAAATGATCCACATTTCCAATATTCGGAACCTTATCACTTCCCATCCCTGGAAGAACAGCCTTGTCCCCTAGGCTGATCTCAGTAATTTGGCTACCCAATTGGAATTCATCCTCACAAGTGGCATTCTCTTCGCCCATCCCTCTCCATTGTAAGTATGCCTCTAAACACCGAATGACTACCTTAATTTGTGCATCGGTCTCTGTATGGCAACAGGAAGATATTTAGGAACATTGTTCATTGTAATTTTAATAGATCTTGCCAAAATATGATAACAAATAAAGGATCTCGGTGTCTAAGAATTAACTGCTTATGCCAGGCAACTTCCTCACTTCTCTTGCAAAAACAGCAGCCACACTTCTTGCTGTCTATGGGTGTTTGAAAAGTATAAAGTGTGCATATGATAGAGTAGAATATCAAACTCAATATGAAAGAATGTTTCTTTATTGCAGAACCCTACACCAATATGGTCCAGATTAGAAATGGGAAGAATTACACAATTGCATTGCCCTGAGGTAATTCGAGAGACCTCATTCTCCAAACCAGCCTAGTTCTATTCCAAAAACACTCCCCTCCCTAACTACCCCTAAGCTCTTATTTATATTGCTATAAGGGCTAGTTGTCCTAACCAACTGAATTAGTTAGTTACAACTTATGATTCTTCAACTATTCTCCTTTTTTTCTCCTGCTATATACATTCTTGAACCTATCAATACCCCTCCCTAAAAGAGCCACCTTGTCCTCAAGGTGAAAATTAGGGAAGGTTCCTGAATGCTTGTAGCTGTTTCCAACTATTCTCATGATCTGGCAGCTGCTTCCTTTTGATCAAGGCTTCCTTCTCTCCTGCAATATTCTGTCTTATCTCTAACAAGTTGTGGGGACTGACTTCAGCTCATACTCAGTGGATAACATAGGGGGTAAAGGTTGAGCTGTTGTAGTCGCATGGATAGCCTTTTTAAGCTGTGATACATGAAAAGCCGGATGTACATGACTGTTTTCAGGGACTTGCAGTCTGTAAGCCACCTGCCCAATTTTTTCTAGAATCTGATAAGGCCCATAAAACCTGGGACTCAGCTTAGCCTTAGGCCTTTTAGCTAGAGACTTTCATCTATAAAGCTGCAATTTCAAATATACCCAGTCACCCGCTCGAAAAATCCTTCTATTTAGTTTTCGAATAATTTTCATGTTATTTTATAGATAAATGCTTACCAATGCCATTACAGCATTGGTTAATGAATAAAAAAGTAGAAACTTTTGTATTAGAAAATGTAAAACTGCACTCACATCCATGATTTCTAATGCATTCCAACATGATTATCAAGACAAGTACTAAATGAAAAAGTTCATGTATTTATTATCTTAAAAACATAAAATATATGAATACTTTTTAAAATTAGTAATTAAAAGGATGTGTGAGAATAAATGTCCGAAGGATTTAGAATTGGTCGAAATGGAATTGCGGTAATGGTTCGGAACAACTCACTGGCACGTTGCATTTTCCGAGAACATCGTTGATAACTTGATGAGACCTTGGGACATGACCGCCTGAAAATTTTCGCAAAGTTGATACATGTTTGGTGAATTTTTTTCTATGTGCTTTATAAGAAGGTAGCAACTTTCTGCGATATTCACTGCCTCTTTCACCGTCAATAACCTGCTCAATCATATCAATGCCTAAGAAAAAGAGGGGAAAAAACGGTACAAGAGAAAACCAAAGAAAGAGAAGAGATGGAGACGGAAAAACAAGACCTAATCATGTTCTTCGTTTTGATAGAAGAGAAGTATTGTTAATGTGAATTCGGAAGATATGAAATGCTTTAACAGCGAGTAAATTGTAGTCCTTAAAAAAAAGTGTCAACTTTATTAATCACGGAATGATATAAACTAGCTCTGGGCATTCCAAGTCAAATTAAATTTTCTAAAATGTTTGACTTTTTTAAAAATCAACCAATTGCAGAGAATGCGTTAAAAAATGTACATAAAAAGTGTGTTGCTACCATTATGCATTACTCTTCTAAATATGGATTCCATCACCAAATCTATGACAAGGTATAATTTGACCCCAAAAAAATGCATAATTGAAGAACGTGCATCGAACTTGAGTGTAATTTTCATAAACTAGTCCTTGAAATTCAGCGCCCATAGCCATAATTTGTAGCGAACTAATTTGAAATAAAAAAAAAAGGAGGGAGTTAGAGAGAATACAGCAATGACAGGATCGGTGAGGCTAACTTGGGAGAGAAAAAGAGAGAGCCATCGAGCGAAAGAGTGCAAGCTGGGCTTGCTTCCTTCGTAGCAGAGCGGATTAACGTCTAAGAAGAACACCCTTTTCATCTTTGGGGGAAGAGATTGCGCACCATGTGTTTGATGGAATGACCCACTCAGTACCTTCTCTGATTTCTTGGGGTTGGGTACGATTAGTGCAGTTGCGGGGTTTTTACTTTTGCAGGATACTGAAGAGGTTGAGTTGCAGCTGCAAGGGAAACGGGGCGGTATGTATGTACCTGCCAAGACGCTCATTTCTAAGGTTCTCATCTTTTTTACACTGCACACTTCGTCGTTACCATCTCTCCGCTCGACTCGTGAGCTATGCGCTGTTTCGAAAAATGGTTTTATTTATATTATTTTTTTAGGTACGCAGTGGCTGAGCGGGATTTTGGCACCTTAAGCATTGACAGATCACATCAGCAATTTTATCCATGGTGTTCACATTTTTTATTATTATTTTTTTGTTAATGTTAATATTTAGAATTGATTTTGAATATTGAAAATTAATCATTTTTATTATAATAAAATATAAATAAAAAATTATTTTAAATTCATTTAAAATATAACAAATGTTATTTTAATTTTTAATCAATAAATACATAAAAATATGTAATATCTGCTAAATGTAGCAATTTTTTTTCACTAATTTTATAAAATACTAGTTAGTAATATGGGTCATGAATAAATATTTTATTTTATAAATTTATATAGTTAAATAATTAGAGAATAATATACTATATTTTTAAATAATTATATATATGTGTGTATATTTAAAAATTATTTTATTTAATTTAATTTAATAATCACAAATAATAAATATTAAAATGATAAAGATTAATAAAAAAACTAAACCTTTATTTTAGTCCTTAAGAGAGTTTTGAATCTAGCACTTTAACTCTTGAAAAATTTAAAATATTACGTTCGTCCTCAACTTCCTTTTTCGTCATTCATTTTAATTTCTAGACTTAGACTCCATTAAGAAACCGTAACAGAGAGCTGACTTGTCACGTTAAGTGTCATATCATATTTTCAGGTGGCAAGAAAGACGTCATTTGAAAAAAGAATGCAGCAAAACACTTTAATTATTAAAAATACTTTAATTATTAAAAACAGTGTCTTTTTGCATGACTTTGGTTGAAGAATTATTGCCCTAAGGAAGGAAATTCAGAGCGACCATTGAAGAGAGTGTTCCCCACAACAATAGATTTCAAGTCATTCTTAATCTCTGACAAAGGAGGAGAAATGTTATTGCCACTCAGATCCAATAATTTTTGAGACGCTAATTCAACCCACCAAAAAACTCCAATAGTGCCATCACTTCAAAAGTATAAGGAATCCCTAATTTATTCTAACAAAATGCAGCACCGATCTAATATTGGGGACTTATTAGTAGAGTAGGAGTAATGAGATCCATTTGTAGCAAAACCTCAACTACTTTAATATGATGATTACTCACTTCTTCATGTAATGTAGTGTTTCCATCGCAATTTTTGGCTCTAATGTAATTCTTGTCTACTTCTATCTCATGCTCAATGTCAGGAAAAAAAGGATTGACATGTTCAATTAGTAACCTTGCGAAGCTGTAATGTCCATACCTAACAGCAACATGAATGAGCGTTTCTCCTTTAGCATTAAAAAGTACAATGATTTGAGATTTAAGATTATATTTGTGAAGAACCCTAAGTGAATATACCAAAATCTCACTTAGAATATCACCCAAATTCATATTCACAGAACGATGCTATTTTTTGACAATTAAAGGTGTTTTGCCACCTTCATTTCCAAAACAACGTCATTTCTTACCACCCAGACATCTGACATGGCACTTAACGTGACAAGTCATCTATTTGTTATGGTTTCTTAATGGAGTCTGAGTGTAAGAATTAAAATGAATGACAGAAAAAAAAAAGTTAGAGACTTACATGATATTTTAAATTTTTAGAGACTAAAATGTTAGACTTAAACTCTCTCAAGAACTAAAATGAGAGTTTAGTCATTAATAAAATTATAATTTTTTAAAATAATATTTTTATTGTATAGTTTAAAAAATAATAAATGTTAATAATTAATATATATTAATAATTATAACTTTTGATATAAGTCTGTTAAAATAAAATTCTAAAATTAAAAATAAAAGATAAGATCAAGTATGATAAAATATAATTGTGAATTTTTTTGTATCTTCAAAATAAATTATAAAAGAATATAAAATAAAATATTACAAAATTATTAATGTATAATACTTATCTCAAAAATAAAAATTACATGAGAAAAATAAACACTAATAGATCAAATAAAAAAATTATAAAATTATATATCCAAAACAATGTATAAACTAAAACTTTTACACAAATATAAAATCAATCAAATATAATATACTAATTAAAGATTAAAAAAATTACGATGTATACTCGAACAAATGTGTAATTTTGATATATAGTATTATATTAAAAAATGAAAGTATATAAATATATATATATATATATATATATATTACTATAAAGATATATTAATATTATAAATAAAATTGTTATAATTAACTAAAGAAAAGATAAAGAATGAGAGATGGTATTTGAAAATCATGTAAATTTTTAAAAAGAAAATTAGATAAAAGTGATGGAATTTACAATTTTTAAGAATTTTGAGTAAGAATATTGTAAATAATATATAAAATATTATAAATTTTATAAATGTGAATATAGGTATTTATAAAAAAATTTAAAAGTTTATATATGATAATAAGAAATTATTTATAAATATAAATGTTAGTATTCACAAAATTTATAAAAGGTAATAAAAAAATTAAATAACAACTTTTATATCCAAAATTTAGTACATAATTAAAAAAATAGGTAAAAAGCAAACAAATTATAAAGGAAGAAAATGAGAGTAGATAAAATAATCTCATTTGTAAATTTGATTAGGTGATGGAAACTTGGTGATTGCTAAATATGTATGTATGAAGAGTGTTTGCAAAAAAATTAGACAAAGTTTAGGATTTTTAATTGAAAATGGAAAAAAAAGAGTTAAAAGATTTAAATTGAAACAAAAAAAAAAGTTAAATTACCACAGCATAAGAAAAAATAACCACATCACTTTTCTATTTAAATGAAAATAAAAAAATGTTGTCTAAAGTTTAGGCAATGTTTTTAACAGTGTTGCAAGAAGTTGTTGCTTAAGTAACTGTTGCATATTCATTTTGATAACAGTTTTTCTCCTATAGTCATTCTAAATATAAAATTGTGACCTAACTAGAATAAATGACAACTATTATTAAGGCATTAGATAAATAAAACTTGATATAATCCTATCAATGGGCTTACAATAATGGCTTAAAACTTAGGCACAATTTTAAAAATGTTGATAAACATGAACAAGTACTAGTTCAATGTTCCATTTAAAAATAAATAAATAAATAGTAAATTTTAGCTATGATTAAAAAAAATTTGTTTATTACAAGTTAAAAAATTAGTAAGTAATAGGCCATAGATGGTGAACTAATCACCTTTTTCTACTTTAGGATGTTAATAAGGTTTTTCCTATACTATTTTAGCTTTTAAATTTTGTTTTTTATTTCTAATATAAGTTTGATAAGACTCGGAGCAATCAGTTGCAACCTGATGAATACAACACAAACACGATGGTATATTGCTTTAACATGCTTAGGATAATAAATATGAGATACATATTGAATATCTATGAACTTTAGTTGCTTCCAACCTTGAAATATTTAATGTAAGGATAGGTTGTGTATTTAAAAGATTCTAAAACTGCAGATTATGATAAATTTGATTGAAGTTGTTTGAAAAAAAAATGCCATTAAATGATTTATTAATATTAAAAATTATGATAAATTTGATGAAAGTTATTTGAGATAAAATAATTGAATGGAAGAAATTATGCTATTAAATGATTTAATAGTCATGATTTAATTATTTAAATTTAATTAAAGATAATAATTTAATAATTTTTAATGTATAATATATGTATTTATCAATTATTGTTAAATATTCACGTATAAACTAAATGAGAGATTGTTATATTATTTTAATTAAAATAATTTATAGTAATTAGCAAAAAAAAAAATCTATAGTAACTAATATAATTTATTGGTCAATTTTAAATAATATGTAACCTTTTAAAAGATAATGGAATGAATATATATATATATATATATATATATATATATATATATATATATATATATATTTACAAGAGAAATAGAAGTGCAGGAGATAGTAAAAACATTAAGAGACCTGCAAACATGGATTTAAACAAGAATGTTTTACACATTAATTGTATGAGAGTTATAAAATCTAATATCTTTCAAAAATTTAGTAAATTTTTTAAATATAAACTCAAAGAAAATTACATCTAACAAAATACAAGTTTAATGTTATGACATATTATCTAATAATCTTTAGTACGGATTTAACTGTATTCTTGCATTATTGAGTAATTGCTATTGATTTCAATAAAAACTCTTGTTTTTCGAGCATGAAAAAAAATGCATAAGTTACCTTTTTCAATATCTAGACCATTGTATATTATTCTCTTATCACTAATTTACTCTAATATTTGAGGTCCTTTCTCAATTTTTTCCACTAATGGTAGTAGGCATTATATTCATTTTATTGATGCATACTCTGACTTCACTTGGTTTTATTCAGATACAAAACAAGTCTTTAAGTTGTATCTTGCTTTACTAATTTTAAAAATCTATTTGAACACTTCCTACTATATCAAAAACACTTCTAGTTGTTTGTCATCCTATTATCATTGCTCCATCTATCATCACAAAAGGTATTGGTCCATCCATTTCATCTATTACTACTACATTTGGCAGAATAATCATCTCATGCAGACTCGAAACAAGTTTGCAATTTTCAAATCCAAAGCCTAATTTTACTAGTATTTCTTCAATCAACATAAAGAATCACTCTCACTTAAGTAAGCATTGGTCTCTTCTCACTGGAAATATGTTATGCATAATAATATCAAACACTTCTTCATAATAACACATGAACTCTTGTTTCTCCACCTCCTAGTTCAAATGTTATAGGTTGTAAATGGATATTTAAAATTAAGAGAAATGTTAATGGAAGTATTCATAAGTACAAGGCCCACATCGTGGCAAAATGATTTCATTAACAAGGAGGTTTTAAATTTTTTGAAATCTTTAGTCTTGTGATTGTAACACCCCAAATTTTGTAATGGTAATTTAATTATTAATGTAAATTGTGGAATTCTATTTGAATGTGTATTTTGGTTTATATATGACGATGGTATGACTATATGTGTATATGTATATGACTGTGTATGTAAGCATGAATGTGAATGATGATTGTGTATTGAGAATAGGATGTGTTTGGAATTGAATAAGAAATAGGTTAAGTGTGTGTGTTGTAGGG